CGTAAACAGATTCAAACCACTGACCAGGAGTTGAAATATTTTCTAAGCTGTGACTCATCTTTTGGCCCATTCTTTCTTTCACTAGGAAATACACTGAGTTTTAATTTCGAGAATTTCAGTTATCCCTTCTGAAGAATCTGTTGCTCATTAAAGTTGCTGGGACTTGTTTTTCTGGTAACCAGCAGGGCTACAAATTAGTTTGTACTCAGTGGTTATGTTAAACCCATGTGTAAACGGAGGGAGAAATCTGATTAACTGTCTAAAGGAAGGTTGTTGAAGATGAGACCTTTATTTCTGACTCCTTTTAGAGATTCATCTCTTCCACCAGAGGGATGGCTATGTAGGAGGGTGAATCTGAGGCTGAGCAGAGCAGGTGCTGTGTGTATGCATTTGTATCTGTAAATATCACATCACTGTTTATAGTACACTGGACTCTCTACATGTAAGGCCTGGTCAGGCCAAACCAAGAGGAATTGTTCCCGTGCTTAAAGCCAAGAATAACATCCTGACCAGCAGGGGGACAGAGGTCAGCTCAAGGCAACAGCTCTTAAGGGCTGCAGAACATTAAGAACCTTGGAGGAACTGAGCTTAATAAAAACGAAGGCAAGATGTACTTTGAAGGAAGTGTTTGAAATCTGCATGCCTTTCTCTTATTAGGACATGGTTTATTTATGAAAAATGAAAAGTTATCTTTTTTTTTTTTTTTTTGAGACAGAGTCTCCTACCGTTGCCTGGGCTGGAGAGCAATGGCATGATCTCGGTTCACTGCAACCTCCGCCTCCTGGGTTCAAGCAGTTCTCCTGCCTCAGCCTCCCAAGTAGCTGGGATTACAGGTGCCTGCTACCACACCCACTTAATTTTTTGTATTTTTAGTACAGACAGGGTTTCACTGTGTTGGCCAGGCTGGTCTCAAAACTCCTGACCTTGTGATCTACCTACTCTGGCCTCCCAAATTGCTGGGATTACAGGTGTGAGCCACTATGTCTGGCCAAAAAATGAAAAGTTATCTTAACAGATGGATATATGATGAGTTCATATCACCTCTCGGTCATTTAGATTTTCCCCTTCTACGTATACATTGATTTATCTGTCGATTATTTTTATTAGAAATTGTATAACTAGCTAAGTAGCAGGAAAAATATGTTCCATTATTCTCGTGTTTTATTCTATAAGCAACATCAGAGAGGCCCACTAGAGAACTGGATTTAAAAGATAATACGTTAATTAAAAAACAAGTACCATGTCTCTTGGGGAATTTACTTACTGGCTGAGTTTTATTTCTGGGATCTTTCTGTGCTTGCTTCTTTTTCCTTCTGTCTTTCCTCATTCTGATGCTGGCCATTCACTCCACAGAGGCAACTCAAACTATTTTCTGAAGGAGCATTCTAAGTTTGCCCTCTTGTCTTCTCTGGGACTCATTTATCTGGCTTGGCTTCAGCTGGTTCCAGGCCAAAGTGATCTGAAAGCTTTTCTTCATTGCCTTTATTTCTTGGCTCTTTTCATGCACTTTGCCTGATTGGTTTGGCTGGTTCTTTCCTTCTCCAGTGGTGTATGCTATGTTGCCTTAATTGTAGGGCTCTAAAGCTCAGGTGCAGCCTCAGGCCACTTAGACTTTTCCCGGGTTTATAAAGTACTTTTGTCCTTTCCTAGAAATTGAGGGATGAATTAGACGCTGTGCTCTGAGGTATTGCCGACTGTCCTGGGATTTTAGTTTGCCAGTTGTTTAAACAGCGTGTAGCAATTTGGATTGTATTTGCAGGGTAGGACTTGTTGCCAAGACTCCGAAGTAGGTCATTGCTATTATGCTTTTTCTCTTTATTTATTTATTTATTTATTAATATTTTTTATAGAGACAAGGCCTCACTATATTGGCCAGGCTGGTCTTGAACTTCTGGCCTCAAGTGATCTTCCTGCCTTGGTGTCCCAAAGTGTTAGGATTACTGGTATGAGCCACCACACCCAGCCCTCCCTTTCTTTTTCTTTCTTTTCTTTTTTTTTTTTGAGACAGAGTCCTGCTCTGTCACCCAGGCTGGAGTGCGGTGGCGTAATCTTGACTTACTGCAATTTTCCTGCCTCAGCCTCCCTAGTAGCTAGGCTTATAGACATGCACCACCATGCATGGCTGATTTTTATGTTTTTAATAGAGATAGGGCTTCACCATGTTGACCAGGCTGGTCTCGAACTCCTGTTCTTAAACAATCCACCTGCCTTGGCCTCCCAAAGTTCTGGGATTGTGGGGGATAGTCACCGCACCCGGCCCTCCCTTTTTTTTCAATTGAAAAGTTAACAAAGACAGAATTACCTTGTCCATGGTCACATGGTAAGTTGGTCTTACACCTTTTGAAGCAAATCTTGTTTTTGTATTCCCGTATACTTCTCAGTGCAAGTATTACCTTAACAAATAATAGGTGGTTATTAAATATGAATAAATAAATCATAACTGTGGGTTGATTGGGAATAGAGGTATGGTTAAAATTCAGAATTCTCATCAGGTTCATCATATTGTAGACAAACAGCTGAGAAAAGGTTCTGAATGGAAGGGACAGAATAGCCATGCATGAAGCTTTTAGTAGCATAGAATGCTCACAAAAAGATAAATCCTGGTCAGGCACAGTGGCTCACCCCTTACCCAGCACTTTGGGAGGCCAGGGCAGACAAATCGTGAGGTCAGGAGTTTGAGGCCAGACTAGCCAATATAGTGAAACCCCGTCTCTACTAAAAATACGAAAATTAACCAGTACAGTAGCGTACAGCTGTAGTCCCAGCTACTTGGGAGGCTGAAGCAAAAGAATCATTTGAACCTAGGAGGCAGAAGTTGCAGGGAGCCAAGATCATGCCACTGCACTCCAGCCTGGACAATAGAGTAAAACTCTGTGTCAGAAAAGAAAAACATCCCAATTTAGCTCATACCTGCAATCCTAGCACTTTGGGAAGCCAAGATGGAAGGATCATTTGAGCCCTGGAGTTCAAGACCAGCCTGGCCAACAAAGGGTGTTCTCGTTTCTACAAAAAATAAAAAAATAACCCAGATGTACTGGCCTGTACCTGTAGTCACTGCTACTCAGAAGGTAGAAGCGGGCCGGGTGCGGTGGCTCAAGCCTGTAATCCCAGCACTTTTGGAGGCCGAGGAGGGTGGATCACGAGGTCAAGAGATCGAGACTATCCTGGCCAACATGGTGAAACCCCGTCTCTACTAAAAATACAAAAAATTAGCTGGGCATGGTGACGTGTGCCTGTGATCCCAGCTACTCAGGAGGCTGAGGCAGGAGAATTGCCTGAACCCAGGAGGCGGAGGTTGCGGTGAGCTGAGATGGCGCCATTGCACTCCAGCCTGGGTAACAAGAGCAAAACTCCGTCTCAAAAAAAAAAAAAAAAAAAAAGAAGGTGGAAGCGGGCGGGAGGATCCCTTGAGCCCAGGAGTTTGAGGCTGCAATGAGCAGTGATTGTGCCACTACACTCTAGCCTGTGGGTGACAGAGTGATACCTTGTCTCAAAAAAAAAAAAAAACAAAAAAAAAAACTGAGCACAGTGTCTCATGCCTGTCATCCCAGCACTTTGAGAGGCATCATGAGAGGATCGCTTTAGTCCTGGAATTTGAAACCAATCCTGGGCTACATACATAGTGAGATTTTGTCTCTACTAAAAATAACAAAGGAAAAAGTTATCTGGGGTGGTGTCACATGCTGTGCCTATAGTCCCAGTTACTTGAGAGGCTGAGGCAGGAGGATTATTTGAGCCCAGGAGGTTGAAGCTGCAGTGAGCCAAGATTGTGCCAATGCCTTCCCACCTGGGTCACAGAGTGAGACCCTGTCTCAAAAAAAGAAAAAAAAAATCCCAGTTTAAATCATTCTAAAATGAAGAAATAGAAAAGTAGCTTGAATGAAAAGGAAATTAGTTATAATGTAAGGAGAAATAGGGTGAGAGAGCATAAAAGAACATGAATTAGTTGAAAGGAACAGTTCTCGAAACAGGTATCTTGCCAGCCTGGGTCAGACAGTAAAAACGAAAATTCCCTCTTCTCCCCAAAACCACTATCCAGAGGGGCTGTTACTGACTCTGGATACTTATATCCAGTTTTGAGAATGCCATGTAAAACATGAAGAGGTCCAGTAGGGTTAGCACAGAGAATAGTTACTCTTTTGATTTGTTAAATTCTTAATAGTTTTACTGCTCTCCAAAGCAAAAACCATTTTCTGATTCTTTGACTGTGTCCAAAGCAGCAGCTGAGACTGCTGTACTACACTGTGCATCAGGCAATAATCCTTTGGAAGGCCTGGCTGTGTTTTTTTTTTTGTTTGTTTGTTTGTTTGTTTGTTTGTTTGAGACAGTCTCGCTCTTGTTGCCCAGGCTGGAGTGCAATGGTGTGATTTCAGCTCACTGCAACCTCTGCCTCTCGGGTTCAAGCAATTCTCCTGCCTCAGCTTCCCAAGCAGCTGGGATTACAGGTGTGCACCACCACGTCCGGCTAGTTTTGTATTTTTAGTAGAAATGAAGTTTCACCATGTTGGTCAGTTAGGTCTCGAAATACTCCTGACCTCAAGTGACGCTTTTGCCTCGGCCTTCCAAAGTGCTGGGATTACAGGCATAAGCCACTGCGCCTGGCTCCCTGGCTACTTTTCTTTAAAAAGAAAAAAACAAAACCAAAACCCCTTTTTTTTTCTTTTGCTTTGAGACCAGCAATTTGCATCTCATTCAGGATCTCTCTTCTCCCGCCTCATATTTTCATGCATACCTCTGCTAAGTCCTGTTCTCTGAACCTGGATCTGGCTTCTGGCCTCAGTGCATTATACAAATTTTAACTATTTGTGGTTTCAGACCTGTTTCTACTATATATATATATATATATATATATTTTTTTTTTTTTTTTTGGTTTTTCCCTGCTCCCTTTAGTAAACTGGGTTCAGACTTGCTTGGGCAAGGGATGATAGTTTTTATTTGTTTTTTGACTCCATAAATATGTTCCCTTCTTACTAATTATTCTTTCTTTCTTTGTCAAACAGGCTACCAAGCAGTTTCTCGAAGAGATTAACAAGTGGACAGTTCAGTACAATGTCTCCCCGCTGTCTTGGAACGTGGCTGTCAAGTTCCTCATGGCCAGGAAGTTTGATGTGCTCCGTGCCGTAGAATTGTTCCACTCCTACAGAGTATGTTGCTCGGGGTGGACCAGACCTGTGGCAGTTGGGCAAAGTGTTGCCGTTCTCTCTGTCATGCTCGACACACTCAAGTGTCCTCTCCATTCCCATGAAAAATGGATCCATATCCAGAAGCCCCTGTGAGAGCTGAAGCTGGGCAAGGCAGCTGCTGGAAAGCACTACTTTTGGACCTAAGTTTTGGTTATAAACCAGGATGCCACTTCTAATGATGGAGACTGAGGAAGCAGCCTGACAGCATCCTGGTGGCGGGAGAGGGGTTCCACCTTCCTAGAATTTTAATCCTAGCTCTTTTCATTGGCCTCTGGCCACATGAAAATCTGTTGGTTTTCAGGTTGTCTAGGGCTTTTAGAAAGGCCATTCAGGGGCCGGGCGCGGTGGCTCAAGCCTGTAATCCCAGCACTTTGGGAGGCCGAGGCGGGTAGATCACGAGGTCGAGAGATCGAGACCATCCTGGTCAACATGGTGAAACCCCGTCTCTACTAAAAATACACAAAATTAGCTGGGCATGGTGGCGCGTGCCTGTAATCCCAGCTACTCAGGAGGCTGAGGCAGGAGAATTGCCTGAACCCAGGAGGCGGAGGTTGCGGTGAGCCGAGATCGCGCCATTGCGCTCCAGCCTGGGTAACAAGAGCGAAACTCCGTCTCAAAAGAAAAAAAAAAAAGGAGGACTGAAGAGGCTGGATGTGTTGGCTTACGCCTGTAATCCCAGTACTTTGGGAGCCTGGGGCGGGTGGATCGCTTCAGCACAGGAGTGCATGACCAGGCCAGGCAACATGGCGAAACCCCATCTCTACTAAAAACACAAAAATTAGCCAGGTGTTGTGGCACATGCCTGTAATCTCAACTACTCAGGAGGCTGAGGCCAGAGAATCTCTTGGAGGTAGAGGTTGCAGTGATCCGAGATGATGCCACTGCACTCCACCCTTGTCGACAGTGCAAGACTCAGTCTCAATACAAAATAAAATAAAAAAAGAAAGGAGGACTGAAATGTCCAGCAAATTCAATGACATTAAGATCCTGGTTACTATAGCAGGAGCTTTTGGTGTAGCAGTTAGGTTGGGAGGAAACCAAAATGCAATGGACTGGGTATGAGGCAAATGGGGATGAGTAAAAAATCTGGCCATCAAGGCTGGGCACAGTGGGTCATACCTGTAACCCCAGCACTTTTGGGAGGTTGAGGTGAGTCGATCACCTGAGGTCAGGAGTTTGAGACCAGCCTGGCCAACATGGTGAAACCCCATCTCTACTAAAACTACAAAAATTAGTTGTCATGGTGGCACACACCTGTAATCCCAACTACTTGGGAGGCTGAGGCAGGAGAATTGCTTCAACCTGGGAGGCGAAGGTTGCAGTGAGCCGAAATTGCACCACTATACTCCAGCCTGGGTGACAGAGTAAGACTATGGCTAAAAAAAAAAAAAATCTGGCCATCAAGCTGGGCATAGTGGTGCATACCTGTTAAGCCCAGGTACTCAAGAGGCTGAGGCAGGAGGACTGCTTCAAGCCAGGAGACCAGGAGTTTGAGACCTTCCTGGGCAAAATAGTGAGACCCTGTCTTGTATTTAAAAAAAAAAAGAAGAAGAAGAAGAAGAAAAGAATCTGGCCATCAGTGAGGAAAATTAAGTCATGGTAGCTGTTGTTGGAGACTATATCAGGTGGAGAGAGGGCTCCTATTTGAACATAGGAGAGGCCTAAACCTAGAAGATGTGTGAGGATGAATGCATCCAGACATTTTTGAGGTTCATATTTTAGTGTCCTGGTACCATGTCAGTGCTGCTGCGTGTTTAAGGACCTTGATTCTGAACCTGAATGTAACATACTGGTTATTCTTCAGGGTTAGGATTCAGGGTTAGGATTCTTTTTTTCTTTTCTTTTTTTTTTTTTTATTTTTTTTCTTTTCAGGGTTAGGATTGTTACTGATTCAGAGAAAAATACCCTACCTGAGGGGCTGATAAAGTAGTTTTGGACAGGAACTCTAAAAATGTTTGGCTGGCTTGGAAGCAGTTTATAAAGAAATTCATAATTCATTTAGTTGACTTCAATTACTTCATTATTCATTTAGCTGAATTCTTTTTTTTTTTTTTTTTTGATACAGAGTCTCACTCTGTCACCCAGGCTGTAGTGCAGTGGCACTGTCTCAGCTCACTGCAACCTCCACCTCCTGGGTTCAAGTGATTTTCCTGCCTCAGCCTCTGGAGTAGCTAGAGTTACAGTCACCCACCACCATACCAGGCTAATTTTTATATTTTTAGTAGAGACTAAAAATTGATTGTATTTTTAGTAGAATTCTAATTCAACTAAATGAATAATTAGTTATGAAATTAGTTACGAAATTTATTTAGTTATAAAATTTATGATTCATTCATTGATAACCACCTTATTGCTGAGATTTGGTGGTTACCTGGAGCTGTCCTGGATATGCAGTGTTTTCATATTACTACATTCTGCTGTGCTTCCTTTTTAGGAAACTCGAAGGAAGGAAGGCATTGTGAAGCTGAAGCCTCATGAGGAACCTCTTCGTTCCGAGATCCTCAGTGGAAAATTCACCATCTTAGTGAGTCTTTAGGGACATAATCTTGTAGGGCCTCGTTACTGCCTTTTCTTAACTGGTGTCATGTTTGGACTTTGTTCCTGCATACGTTATCCTGAATCTAGAGAGTCTCCAGAGTTAGGAGCAGATGTGAAACAGCCATGCAGTTTGTTATACAATTATTGAGTTGCTAATGATAATTGAATAACTGAATTACGGAAAATCAGTTGTACAGTAGACTTAGAAAAGTTTCTTCATTTGGTCCATTAAGGTTATTGATGGTCTTTGCGATAGATATGCGATGTGTCAGACACCCATGCATCCATATTTAACACAAGCCCTCCACTTAGCTGAGACCTCAGCGTTTCAAGTAAACATATAATGGCACTTTTAAGGCAGAGGGTGGAAATCATGATCCTGTTGCCTGGTTCTCTCCTGCTGCTTGTTTCTTTGGCCATCCTGCTGGGGAAGTTAGCTAGGAAGTCATCTTTTGATCTGTCTGCAGTTGAAGGGCAAAGAGAATGTGATTTTTTTTCTTACCACAGAAATAAGGTCCAGAGAGTCCTGAGAGAATCAGGCAAGGGATGATATTAACATTCTTCCCTCTGGGGAGAAATTGGTGAGGTCAGGGAATTATTGTTAGCATCTGTTTTCTTCACGTATCAAACCCTTATCCACTGTATGTCTTAGTAACTGCTGTGGTTTTCTATTTGATTTTTAAATGTTTCTTGTTTTATTTGCTTTAGAATGTTCGGGACCCAACAGGAGCCTCCATTGCCCTCTTTACTGCCAGGTTGCATCATCCCCACAAGTCAGTCCAACATGTGGTACTTCAGGCTCTGTTTTACTTGCTAGACAGAGCTGTGGATAGGTAAGCACTGAGATTATTTTTTAGGTAGTCTACATGCAGGTAGGAAAGTGACAGTTTTTGACTTGATTAAATTCATCAGTACCTTCACCATTCTCCTAGAATGTGCCCTGGGCAATGCTATGGATAGAAAACAGTCCATGTCAGCTGGGCATGGTGGCTCATGCCTGTAATTCCAGCACTTTGGGAGGCCAAGTCAGGTGGATCACTTGAGGTCAGGAGTTCGAGACCATCCTGGCCAACATGGTGAAACCCCATCTCTACTAAAAACACAAAAATTAGCCAGGTGTGGTGGCATGTACCTGTAGTCCTAGCTACTCAGAAGGCTGAGGCAGGAAAATCGCTTGAACCTGGGAGGCAGGGGTTTCAGTGAGCCAAGATTGGGCCGCACCTCCAGCCTGGCAACAAGAAAAAAAAACAGTCCATGTCCTTCAGGACATGGCATGTTTACAGGCAGTATCAAAATGGTGGGTATTCTGTCTTTTTACCACCTTGGCTCTATGTCAGGAAAACAGAAGCTGAGAAAGTCAATTATCAGCAGTCTTCAGTGTATAGGAAACTACTTATTGAAAGAGAATGAGGAGGAGATGACCTGTGCTGCTTCTTTTTGTTTATATCAGAACCTTCTACGGCCTGTTTCTTTGTCTGCATAACAGGAATAATGCCATTTAGCTCAAAGGATTTTGGGACTCAACATTCAGGGCTGGGCTGGGTGTGATGGCTCACACCTGTGATCCCAGCACTTTAGGAGGCTGAAGTGGGCAGATTACTTGAGGACAGGAGTTTGAGACCAGCCTGAACAGCATGGTGAAACGATGTCCTGATAAAAAGACACAAAATTAGCTGGCCATAGTAGCATGCACCTTTAGTCCCAGCATTGGCGGGAGGAGGGAGGCGATGTTGCTGTGGTAGGAGGATCACTTGAGCCTGGAATGGTGAGGCTTTAGTGAGCCATGATGATGCCACTGCACTTCAGCCTGGATGACAGAACGAGACCTGTCTCAAAAAAAAAACAAAAACACGCACACAAACACATGCACGCATACACACACACACACACACACACACAAACTGCACACAAAACAAACAACAACAACAAAAACATTCAAGGAAAAGTCCAAATGTATAAAGCAAAAATCATCCTTAATAAAAACAGGTACATAGCTTAGGTCATCACTCTCTCCCTGCTTAGGTAAATGGTATTGTTACAATTCAGTGGACAATGAAACTCAAGTCCCAAGAGGTTTTTTACAGTCATCACCTGTTAGCCCAGCTGGTTCTAAGACCCTGGTTTCTTCACTCTTGGGCAGTTATTTGTATCCTCCCATGCTGTCTTTCTGATATTCTTTTTTCCCTGGTCCTTGCAATTTAGTTTCTTACTGCTCTCGCCATTTTTGGCTGGGCCTCTGGATTAGAAGTGCTATATTGAAGCTGGGCACATTGACTCATGCCTATAAACCTAACACTTTGGGAGGCTGAGATGGGCAGATTGTCTGAGCTCAGGAGTTTGAGACCAGCCTGGGCAATATGATGAAACCCTGTCTCTACTAAAAATACAAAAAAATTGCCAGGTGCGGTGGCGTGTGCCTGTAGTCTCAGCTACTTGGGGAGGCTGAGGCATGAGAATTGTTTAAACCTGGGAGGTGGAAGTTGCAGTGAGCAGAGATCATGCCACTGCACTCCAGTCTGGGTGACAGAATCAGACTCTGTCTAAACAAAGCAAAAAACTTTAATTGTGGCCAGGCGTGATGGCTCATGCCTGTAATCCCAGCACTTTGGGAGGCCAAGATGGGTGGATCACAAGATCAGGAATTCGAGACCAGCCTGACCAACATGGGGAAACCTTGTCTCTACTAAAAATACAAAAATTAGCTGGGCATGGTGGTGTGCACCTGTAATCCCAGCTTCTCAGGTGTCTGAAGCAGGAGAATCGCTTGAACCTGGGAGGCAGAGGTTGCAGTGAGCCAAGATCGCACCTCTGTACTCCACCCTGGATGACAGAGCAAGACTCTGTTTTAAACAAACAAAAAAGAATTCTCCTATAGCTCAGAAGGATAAATGAGAGGCTCCTTTCCCAGAAAATCCAGTATTGGTCTTCCTCCATGGAAGGCTTAGAGTCAGAACTCTCATGTAGGCATGTCAGGATGCATGGAGGAGGCCACATCTTGCTTTTTCCATTGTGAGTGTTGGATCTCACAAGACAACCACACAGCTAAATGTAGTTAAAACTTAGGTTTTATGATATTCATTCATTTCCTAAAAACCCTCAGTGACTCCTAATTATCCAGAGGGAGCATGTAAGCTAAATAAATGTGAACTCGTTTTCTCCAAGCAAAACATTCTCCCCAGTGAATAGAAAATCTTGTTTTCCTGTGTTACTTTGAACTACAGTGGTCTTACCTCTCCCTTTGTTTTATTAAATCTTACACTTTCTTCAAGGCCCAGCTTCCATGACTGGCTCCCTCCCATTCCAACCTGTCATAAACAAAATTAGGTTTACTCTGACCTTAATAAGAGTCATTATCAATACCAGCCATTATGTACTTATATTATACATGGCTTTATTATACCATTTATCTTACACTGTTATTAGATTTTTCATCTACCACTAGAATGTGAGCTCCTTGAGGGCAGGGAACTTTCTTTTTAAAATATATAATGGAAAATATCCAAATTTCTGTAGGTCGAGAATGGTATCATTAACGTCTACATATCCATCATCTATCTTCTTCAAAGTGATCTGTAACCAGTCTTGTTTCATTGGTAGCCCCTCATGGATCTCCTACCCTCAATTTCTTTCTTTATTTTTTTTTTTTTGAGACCAGATCTTGCTTGTCACTTAGGCTGGAGTGCAGTAGCATGATCGTAGCTCACTGCAGCCTTCAACTCCTGGGCCTAAGAGATCCAGAGATCCTCCCATCTCGGCCTCCCGAAATGCTGGGATTACAAGCATGAGCCATTGCCTCTAGCCTCTCAGTTTTTTAAAAAAAACAAATGTCAGGCCGGGCGCGGTGGCTCAAGCCTGTAATCCCAGCACTTTGGGAGGCCAGGGTGGGTGGATCACGAGGTCAAGAGATCGAGACCATCCTGGTCAACATGGTGAAACCCTGTCTCTACTAAAAACACAAAAAATTAGCTGGGCATGGTGGCACGTGCCTGTAATCCCAGCTACTCAGGAGGCTGAGGCAGGAGAATTGCCTGAACCCAGGAGGCGGAGGTTGCAGTGAGCTGAGATCGCGCCATTGCACTCCAGCCTGGGTAACAAGAGCGAAACTCCGTCTCAAAAAAAAAACAAAAAAACAAATGTCAGGGACTGTGTTTTCTCTTGGCGTTTTCTCTAAAGTGTACCTCAGGAATCAGACTCAGTAGGCAATCAGTCAGCTGTCATTGTAAATATTAAACTGGGTGCAGTGGCTCATGCCTGTAATCCCAACACTTTGGAATGTCAGGCGAGAGGATCGCTTGAGTCCAGGAGTTCCAGACCAGCCTGGGCAACGTAGCAAGATCTCATCTTTACAAAAAAATTTAAAAATTAGCCAGGCATGGTAGTGCATGCCTGTAGTCCCAGCCACTCATGGAAGGCTGAGCTGGGAGGATCACCTGAGCCCTGGGAGGTCAAGGCTGCAGTGAGCCATGATTGTGCCACTGCACTGCACTCCAGCATGGGTGACAGAGTAAAATGCTGTCTTTAAAATATATATATTCTGGCCGGGCATGGTGGCTCAGCCTGTAATCCCAGCACTTTGGGAGGCTGAGGTGGGTGGATCACCTGAGGTCAGGAATTCGAGTCCAGCCTGGCCAGCTTGGCGGGGCCTCAAGCAGTCTTCGTGTCTCAGTCTCCCGAAGTGCTGGGATTACAGGTGTGAGTCACTACACCTTGCCTGTGCCACACATTTTAACAGCATCTTGGATCTTTGTGAATCATAGTGTCCTCTGGGGTTGTAAAAAGGAGTCAAGGCCGGGCACAGGGACTCACACCTGTAATCTCACTACTTTGGGAGGCTGAGGCGGGGAGGGGGGCCGATCACTTGAGGTCAGGAGTCTGATAGCAGCCTGGCAACATGATGAAACCCCGTCTCTACTAAAAATTAAAAAATAAATAAGGAAAGGAGTCAAGATTTAACACTAATGTAACATATTAGGGGCCAGTTGAAACCAAGTCCGCTGGAGAAACTTTCATGTACCTCAGAATTAGACATTTTTGAAATGTTAGCTCATGGGTGGGGACTTCTGCCTTGGAATTTGTAAAAGGGATGAAGGTATAGAGGTTCCCAGGAAGTGATGGTGCAAAAATAGGATACAAAATAACTTTGAGGCTGGGCATGGTGGCTCAAGCCTGTAATCCCAGCACTTTGGGAGGCCGAGGTGGGTGGATCACCTGCGTTCAGGAGTTTGAGACCAGCCTGGCCAACATGGCGAAACCCCGTCTCTTCTAAAAATACAAAATTAGCCAAGTGTGGTGGTGCATGCCTGTAGTCCCAGCTACTGGGGAGGCTGAGGCAGGAGAATCACCTGACCCCGGGTGACGGAGGTTGCAGTGAGCCCAGATCATGCCATTGCACTCCAGCCTGGGCAACAAGAGTGAAACTCCATCTCAAAAAAAAACAAAAAAGAAAAAACAATAACTTTGAGACTCCTGATTCCAGGAGTGTTTTGTGGCAGTTTTCTCAATTCTAAATAGATACTGAAAACTGTTGCTGTCATCTGTGAGTAGTCCAATCAAATAATTTATTCCTAATGACCATTTGGGTCTGCAAATCAGATGTAAGTATGGATCTGGCTTGGGGGAAGGGTACATCTTTGAGATATCTTTATAAATCTGGGAAATTGGACTGAGGAATACTTTCTGTGTCTTCAAATGTTCCTCAGTTTGGTCTGGGAATAGGCTTACTTTTTTTCTGAGACAGAATCTCGCTCTGACTTCCAGGCTGGAGTGCAGTAGCACAATCTTGGCTCACTGCAACCTCCACCTGCTGTGCTCAGGCAGTTTTCCAGCCTTAGCCTCCTGAGTAGTTGGGATTACAGGCATCTGCCACCATGCCCAGCTAATTTTATATTTTTAGTAGAGATGAGGTTTCACCATGTTGGCCAGGCTGGTCTGGAACTCCTGACCTCAGCCTGCCTCAGCCTCCTGAAGTGCTCGGATTACACACATGATCCACCATGCCTGGCCATGGCTTACTATTAATACCTATTAATCTACTTTTTTCCTTCCTTCCTTCCTTCCTTCCTTCCTTCCTTCCTTCCTTCCTTCCCTTCCCTCCCTCCCTCCCTCCCTCCCTCCCTCCCTCCCTCCCTCCCGTCCCTCCCTCCTTCCGTCCCTCCCTCCCAGGCCATGACTTACTTTTAATACCTATTAATCTACTTTTTTCTTTCCTTCCTTCCTTCCCTGCCTCCCTCCCTCCCTCCCTCCCTCCTTCCTTCCTTCCTTTCTTTCTTTTTTAATAGAGTCAGGGTCTTGCCATGTTACCCAGGCTGGTCTTGAACTCCTGGGCTCAAGTGATCTGCCCACCTTGGCCTCCCAAAGTGTTGGGATTACAGGCATGAGCCACTTTGCCCGGCCTTACATTTTTTTAAGACAAGATCTCACTGTCTTCCAGGCTGGAGTGCAGTAGCATGATCTCACTCCAGCCTCCACCTCCTGGGCTCAAGTGACCCTTCCACCTTAGCCTCCCAATTAACTGGGACTATAGGCACAGGTCACTACAGGATGAGGTATTGTCATGTTGCCCAGGCTGGTCTCAAATTCCTGGGCTCAAGCTGTCTGCCCACCTTAGCCTCCCAAAGTGCTGAGACTAGAGGCGTGAGCCACCATGCCCAGCCTTAATCTACTTTTTAAGAATGCTTTTCAAAGGCCGTATATGAGTTTGTTCTCTTCCTCCATTGGATCATAAGAGACAAATTTACTATCATTGAGCTTAGAGGCAGTTTTGTTCTACAGAGTTTTCTACAGGTCTGAAATATGTTTTAGAGATGGGCTTCTAGTCTACTGAATTACAATTCAGTGACCATTTATTTTTAAGGGCTGGGCTAGGGACTGTTGGGGGTAATGAGTTGAACAACAGGTTCTTGTCCTCTAGGAGAGAATTGCATGGCTACACAGAGTATGTTAAGGCCACAGAAAAATCCATAGGAGGATTTATGGGGCTTTAAGGGAAAAAGCAATTGGTAGTATATTTGATTACAGTTATCAGGGAGACTTTCATGGCAGAGGAAACTTTGGGGTTGAGTATGGAATGTGTTATAGGATTTTGTAGGCAGATCTAGAGGGGTGGGAGAAAACAGTTCAGATTTTGATAACTTGGTTGCTGTAGAGCATTCTCAACCTAGGAGAGTGGCATTTAGTAAATCTGGATAAATCTGCATTAATAAACATAGCAGATACCAAAGATAAGCGACCTTTTTGTAAGACCAGTGTGCAGGCAGGCAATTGTTTTGATCCTAGATGTGTCCCGTCCTCTCGGGGTTTGTTTTGGCATTAGGCTTTCCACCTGCCTCATCCATCTTCTTATAAACGTTTTTGTTTAATGGTTGATTTATAGCTTTGAAACTCAGAGGAATGGACTGGTGTTTATCTATGACATGTGTGGTTCTAATTATGCCAACTTTGAGCTGGATCTTGGCAAGAAAGTCCTAAACCTGCTGAAGGTAAGGCTGTGGGAGGGCCCTCTCAACTTTCCTTTTCAATGCTTGGGATTTTTTTTTTATTATTCTTTGGGAAAAGATTTAAGAATGATGCAAGCTTCAGACATTATGTTCCACGTAAAGGTCATCTGTAAATGCTGACTACTGTCTGCCTCCTTAGAACCAGAAATGGTCTTAAAAGTTAAGTGGGAGGAATTCAGGTAAAAAATACACAGAAACATTCTGAGTCATAAAAGTGGGATGGGCTGGGGGCCATGACCCACACCTGTAATCCCAGCACTTTGGGAGACTGAGGCACACTTACGTGTCTAAGGCGCATATGAAACATACATAAATTTCTTGCTTAGACTTGGGTCCCAGCCCCAAGATACCTCATGATGTTTATGCAGATATTCCAAAATCTAGAAAAAATTCAAAATCTAAAACACTTCTGGTCCCAAGTATTTTGGTTAAGGAATACCCAACCTGTGTTATGAATGGTGCTGTTATGAACATTCTTAAACATGTTTTCTGGTTCGTATGTGTAAAAGGATCTCTAGGGGAGTATTTCTCAACCTTGTTTTATTATTGCCTCATTAAGGAGCCTTTTAAATATTTCTCCCTAATAATTCCTCTTCTAATGAAATTTTATTACCATGATATACTGTATATCTCTATGTACTCTTTTTAACATTTATTTTTTATTTATTTTGATTTTTTATTTTATTTTTTTTGACAAGAGTCTCACCTTTGTCGTCCAGGCTGGAGTGCAGTGGTGCAGGCTCAGCCGACTAGAGTGCAGTGGTGCAGTCTCAGCCGAACTAGAGTGCAGTGGTGCAGTCTCAGCCGACTAGAGTGCAGTGGTGCAGGCTCAGCCGACTAGAGTGCAGTGGTGCAGTCTCAGCCGACTAGAGTGCAGTGGTGCAGGCTCAGCCGACTAGAGTGCAGTGGTGCAGGCTCAGCCGACTAGAGTGCAGTGGTGCAGTCTCAACTGACTAGAGTGCAGTGGTGCAGTCTCAGCCGACTGCAGCCTTCACCTCCCAGTTTCAAGCAATTCTCCTGTCTCAACCTTCTGACTAGCTGGGATTACAGGTTCCTGCCACCACACCTGGCTAATTTTTTTACTTTTAGTAGAGATGGGGTTTCACCATGTTAGCCAGGCTGGTCTCGAACTTTTGATCTCAAGTGATCTGCCCACCTTGGCCTCCCAAAGTGCTGGGGTTACAGGTGTGAGCCACTGCAACTGGCCTTATTTTTTAAGTAGAGACAGGGTCAGGCAGGGCACTGTGGCTCACGCCTGTAATCCCAGCACTTTGGGAGGCCAAGGCGCGTGGATCACCTGAAGTCAGGAGTTCGAGACCAATCTGAGTAACATGGAGAAACCCTGTCTTTACTAAAAATACAAAATTAGCCAGGCATGTTGGCACATGCCTGTAATCCTAGCTACTAGGGAGGCTGAGACAGGAGAATTGCTTGAATACTGGAGGTGGAGGTTGTGGTGAGCCAAGATTGCACCACTGTACTCCAGCCTGGGCAACAAGAGCAAAACTCCATCTCAAAAAAAAAAAAAAAAAAAATAGTGAGACCCTGTCTCTGTGTTGCCCAGGCTGGTCTTGAACTCCTGGACTCAAGCAGTCCTCCCTCCTTGGCCTCCCAAAGTGCTGGGATTACAGGTGTTGGCCACTATGATTGGCCTCTTTATGTACTCTGTATATAAAAAGAGTAAGTTTGTTTTTTTTTTTTTTTTGGTTCACCTCACCCTGCTCACATACTAATTTGACTTCTTTGGTGAGGTGACATCTCCCCCATTAAGAATGCATGCTCTAGCGCCAGGCGCGGTGGCTCAAGCCTGTAATCCCAGCACTTTGGGAGGCTGAGGCGGGTGGATCACGAGGTCGAGAGATAGAGACCATCCTGGTCAACATGGTGAAACCCCGTCTCTACTAAAAATACACAAAATTAGCTGGGCATGGTGGCGCGTGCCTGTAATCCCAGCTACTCAGGAGGCTGAGGCAGGAGAATTGCCTGAACCCGGGAGGCGGAGGTTGCGGTGAGCCGAGATCGCGCCATTGCACTCCAGCCTGGGTAACAAGAGCAAAACTTCGTCTCAAAAAAAAAAAAAAAAAAAAAAAAAAAGAATGCATGCTCTAGGGTATAAGCCTAGGAGTGGCTTGCTGGGTCCCAAAGGCTGTGAAGATTTAACCTTATAAGACAATGCCAAACTGTTTTCCAAAGTGGTTGTACCCACTTGCCATGTGTAAAAATTTCTATTGATCTGCATCCTCTCCAGGACTTATTAATGTCAGACTTCTTAATTTTTTTCCCCAATTAAATGGATATGAAATGATATCTTGTGGTATAACTTGCATTTCTTTTATTAGTTAAATTAAGTATCTCTTCATATATTTTTAGCTGTATATTTTTTCTTCTGTGAAATGCCTATTTGTGATTTGTCCATTTAGGAATTAATAGTTTGTAATATATTATTGATTCTAATCCATAAAGAGATATGTATACATACATATACACATAATGTGTGCACACAGCAAACTGTGCCTTAACTTGTAGCCTGTTTTTTCACTTTTTATGAAGTCCTTTTGACTAACATAAGTCTTTTTTTTTTTTTTTTTTTAAACCAAGTCTCGCTCTGTCTCCAAGGCTGAGTGCAGTGGCATGATCTTGGCTTACTGCGACCTCTGTCTCCCAGGTTCAAGCAGTTCTCATGTCTCAGCCTCCCAAGTAGCTGGAACTACAGGTGCCCACCGCCACACCCGGCTAATTTTTGTATTTTTAGTAGAGATGGGGTTTCACCATGTTAGGCTCGTCTCTAACTCTTGACCTCAAGTGATCTTCCCACCTCAGCCTCTCATAGTGCAGGATTACAAGTGTGAGCCACCACGCCCGACTTCAAAAGACTGATTTTTATTTGACATGTCACTCTCTGTTCTCTTCAGTTACCCTTTAGTTCTACTGATTTGGGGAATCCCTAGCACTCCTCTATGGAGAATAAATAGCATCTAGAACAAAATTCTCCAAAGGCCTCTTCACTGGTGTGGTAAACTACTTTCATCTTTTCCTCCAAAGATGCAACAATTTATTTCAGAGCCTAAAAGTCCAAGGTCCTTTTAACCACCAAATCAAAGACCATTCTAGGAAAACGCCTGTTATTTCCACAAAATGATAAATAGAAAGTCGAAGCTATTACATCTCCTTTTTCAGAGCAAAGAACTCGGACATGACTGTCTGGGGGTACCTGCTGCGGTCACCAGGATGGGTGGCAGCTTGGTCAGTGGCGAATAGCCTGCAGCTTTCTCCAGTGTAAATTACAAAGGACTTACCCCTCAGTCCCAAACCTTTCCTCAAGGGATTAAGAGAAGCCAGTGATGGTGAAACTTAAGTAGGGAATGGATTACAGAGGCTAACTGGTATCTGTAGGTGAACCAAATCTACAGATGTATCTATATGAACATGCAGCTTGCAAATACAGAAGAATACATAGTTGGGGTGTTTTCTGGACATCTGGATGAAGTTTTACTAAAGTATAATACTGTCCTCTGTCTCAGAGGTGTGGAAGAAGAGAAATAGGAAGGGGAAATGAAAGAATAGCATCTTTTCTGGGGGATTTTAAAATACATATATTTTTTTTTTTTTTGAGACGGAGTTTCGCTCTTGATACCCAGGCTGGAGTGCAATGGCGCGATCTCGGCTCACCGCAACCTCCGCCTCCTGGGTTCAGGCAATTCTCCTGCCTCAGCCTCCTGAGTAGCTGGGATTACAGGCACGCGCCACCATGCCCAGCTAATTTTTTGTATTTTTAGTAGAGACGGGGTTTCACCATGTTGACCAGGATGGTCTCGATCTCTTGATCTCGTGATCCACCCGCCTCGGCCTCCCAAAGTGCTGGGATTACAGGCTTGAGCCACCGCGCCCGGCCTTAAAATACATATTTTTAAAGTTCTGTTCATTTTTCTAATAAATAAATGACTGTATAGCACCCTCATATCCTGTCAGTTCAGTAAGTTGGTAACACCTTTTGGAAGGCATCTGGCCTTATAAATCCTTGAAAATGCACATAGCCTTTGATGAGTTCTATCTCTGAGATTATATGCTAAGGAAACAATCAGGAAAACAAAGATTTATAAAAAGAGTATTTACTGCACATTTATTTTAGATAATTAAAAATAAAGTTTAAAACTGGAAAGAAGCTGACCCCGTGACTTACATCTGTGATCTTAGCCCTTTGGGATGCTGAGGTGGGAGAATTATGTAAGGCCAGGAGTTCAAGGCCAGTCTAGGCCACATAGCAAGACCCTGTCTGTACAAAATTTAGCAGCTCGTGGTGGTGTGTGCCTATCGTCCTAGCTACCCAGGAGGCTGAGGCAGGAGGATCACTTGAGCCCAGGATATGAGGCTGCAGTGAGCTATGATTGTATGATTACATTCCAGCCCAGGTGATAAGATCTTGTCTTTAAAAAAAAACAAAAAAGAATATTCATAATCTTTAGCCAAATAATCTCAGTTTTAGAAACAGCTTCTTAAAATAATTTAAAAGGAGGCCAGGCTCAGTGGCTCATTCCTGTAATCCCAGTACTTTGAGAGGCCGAGACAGGTGGATCACTTGAGGCCAGAAATTCAAGACCAGCCTGGCCAACATGGTGAAACCCTGTCTCTGCTAAAAACACAAAAACGTTAGCTAGGCATGATGGCACACGTCTGTAATCCCAGCTACTCAGAAGGCTGAGGCATGAGAATTGGTTGAACCCTTGAACAGAGGTCATGCCACCACACTCCAGCTTGGGCGACCAAGGGAGACTCTGTCTCAAAAAGAAAATTAAAAGGAAAAGGTAAAATGAGCATATCAGGATGATTAAGGCCTGAAAACAAACTGAATAATCAGAATGATGGTTATGTGGTTAATTAAATTACTTATGGCATATTTACTCCACAGGATATTGTGACTTTGTTGAAACTGACAAATAGTCTAAGTTGGGGAAGGGAGGGACTTTTTAATATGTAAAAGTCAAAAACAAAACAGCTACCCATATAGAAAAAAATGTCAGATTCCTACATCTCATACTATGTTCAAAAATGAACTTCAGATAGATTAAAGTCTTAAGTAACAAAAATAGGCCACGCGTGGAAGCTCACGCCTGGAATCCCAACACTGGGAGGCCAAGGCAGGCAGATTGCTTGAGCCCAGGAGTTTGAAACCAGCCCGGGCAACATGATTTAACTATCTGTACCAAATACAAAATTAGATAGGCATGGTAGTACATGGTACTTGGGAGGCTGAGGTGGAAAGATCACTTGAGCCCAGGAGGTCAAGGCTACAGTAAGCCATGATGGTGCCACTGCGCTCCAGCCTGGGCAACAGAGTAAGACCTTGTCTCAAAAAAACAAAACAAACAAACAAACCAAAAGGACAAAAACAAAAGTTTAACATTTTAAAAGAAAATAGCTCCTCAAATGTGGACAAGTGGAAACAACCCAAATGACCATCAGCAGATGAATAGATAAGCAAAATGTAGTATATTTATGATGAAATATGATTCAGCCTTAGAAAGCAATGTAATTCTGAGACATGCCATAATATGGATTAACCTTAGAAACATTATGCTAAGGAGGATAAACCCGACAAAAAAGGACAAATATGGCAGGGCACGGTGGCTCATGCCTGTAATCCAAGCACTTTGGAGGCCAAGGTGGGCAGATCACCTGAGGTCAAGATCAGCCTGACCAACAGGGTGAAACTCCATCTTAAAAAAATAATAATAAATAAATAAATAAATAAATAAAGGACAAATATAGTAGCATTCCACTAACATAAGGACCTAAAATAAGCAAATTCATAGAGACAAAAAGTAGAACAGAGGTTACTAGGGACTAGGTGGAGAAGGGAATAGGAAGACATTGTTTAATGGGTACAGAGTTTTTGTTTGCAAGGATGAAATAGCTGAAAATGAATAGTGGTGATGGCTACATCGTGAACATACTTAACACCAATAATGGTACACTTAAAATGGTTTAAGGCGGGGCGTGGTGGCTCATGCCTGTAATCCCAGCACTTTAGGAGACTGAGGCAGGCAGATCACCTGAGGTTGGGAATTTGAGATGAGCCTGACCAACGTGGAGAAACCCTGTCTCTACTAAAAATACAAAATTAGCCAGGCATGGTGCAACATGCCTGTAATCCCAGCTACTTGGGAAGCTGAGGCAGGAGAATCACTTGAAGCCAGGAAGTGGAGGTTGCAGTGAGCCGAGATTGCGCCACGCACTCCAGCCTGGGCAACAATAGTGAACTCTGTATCTTGGAGGAAAAAATGATTTAAAAAGTCAGTTTTGGGCCAGGCGCGGTGGCTCAAGCCTGTAATCCCAGCACTTTGGGAGGCCAAGGAGGGTGGATCACGAGGTCAAGAGATCGAGACCATCCTGGTCAACATGGTGAAACCCCGTCTCTACTAAAAATACAAAAAAATTAGCTGGGCATGGGGGCACGTGCCTGTAATTCCAGCTACTCGGGAGGCTGAGGCAGGAGAATTGCCTCAACCCAGGAGGCGGAGGTTGCGGTGAGCCGAGATCACGCCATTGTACCCCAGCCTGGGTAACGAGCAAAACCCCATCTCAAAAAAAAAAAAAAAGTCAGTTTTGTTGTGGATATTTCAATAAAAGAAACAACTTAGAAAAATTAATGCACATGGTGGAATCAGTGGCACAGCAGTAAAAAATAAATAGTACTTTTTCTGACATTAAAGTAGAAAAGGATTTAAGACACAAAACACACTAACTAGAAAACATTAATACATTTGACCATATCAAAATTAAGAACTTCAAGCCGGGAACAGTGGTTCAATCCCTATAATCCCAGCACTCTGGGAGGCCAAGGTAGGCAGATTACTTGAGGTCAGGAGTTTGAAACCAGCCTGGCCAACATAGTGAAACCCTGTCTCTACTAAAAATACAAAAATTAGTCTAGTGTAATGGTGCAGTTTCAGCTACTTGGGAGCCTGAGGTGGGAGGATCATCTGAGCCTGGGTGGTACAGGATACAGTGAGCTGTGATTGTGCCACTGCACTCCAGCCTGGGTAACAGAGCAAGACTCTGTCTCTAAAACAAAACAAAACAAAACAAAACAAAAACAGGACAACCAACCAAACGAAAAAACTAACTACTGTGGATTAGGAATGAATGATTTTTCATCTTTATGTCTTGTGTGGATCAGGCTATCTCCTTTTTTTTAGATATCATTTGCCATAGTGCGTGTTAGATTATATTTATTGATTGGTAAATACATAGATGAACTAATAGATAAAAAAAGATTATACATACACAGATTATCAGACTGAATGAAAAGTTATGAAAGAGAAATTTTTAAAATTTTTATTTATTATTATTATTTTTTGAGGCAGAGTTTTGCTCTTGTTGCCCAGGCTGGAGTGCAATGGCACGATCTCAGCTCACTGCAACCTCTGCCTTCCCGGTTCAAGTGATTCTCCTGCCTCAGCCTCCTGAGTAGCTAGATTACAGGCATGCGCCACCATACCTGGCTAAGTATTGTATTTTTAGTAGAGACAGGGTTTCTCCATGTTGGTCAGGCTGGTCTCAAACTCCTGACATCAGGTGATCTGCCTGTCTTGGCCTACCAAAGTGCTGGGATTCCAGGTGTGAGCCACTGTGCCCGGCCACTATTACTATTCTTTTGAGACAGAGTTTCCCTGATTGCCTAGGCTGGGATGCACCGGTGTGATCTCAGCTCACTGCAACCTCTGCTTCCTGGGTTCAAGTGATTCTACTGCCTCAGCCTCCCTAGTAGCTGGGATTACAGGTGCGTGCTACCACACCCGGCTAATTTTGTATTTTTAGTAGAGACCGGGTTTTGCCATGTTGGCCAGGCTGATCTCGAACTCCTGACCTCAGGTGATCCACCCGCCTTGGCCTCCCAAAGCACCCGGATTATAGGCATGAGCCACCACGCCTGGTCAGGAAATGTTTAATGTTCAGTTTATTCACAATCTCATTTTTCCTTCAGGTTTTAATAACAGAACTTTTTTAGGAGGCATATACGTATGCTGATGTGTGATGTGTGTAGGATTTTTGTTGAGATGAGAAGTCAGAATAGCTTTTGATCCATAAAGCTTATGGTAGACAAGAACTTAACATTGTTATTTTTAAAGGAAAATCAGCTTCTAATTTCTTTATTTTGTTTAACCACTTTCTCTAGCTGCTGAGGTCAAACCTGAATTAGGCTGTAGACTCCCCCTGCTGGGTAAGAATGGAGAGAAGAGCAGAAAACCTTAACTGTGGGCTTGAAGAGTCGCAGGTTCCATTACCCTCCAATCCTCATGTGTTTTTTCCACAGGGAGCCTTTCCAGCTCGTTTGAAGAAGGTGCTGATTGTGGGGGCACCCATATGGTTCCGAGTGCCCTATTCCATCATCAGCCTCCTCCTGAAGGACAAAGTCCGGGAGAGGGTAAGGCAAGCTCGCCCTTTTTTGTTTGGAAGAGAATAGATACATTCTCATCTCTACCGGTGAATTCCTCCCAATTAATGGGACCTTCAAAAAATCTTCCTGGTTTGTCTCCTAGAGCATGTTCTGCTTCTGTTAGTGCATTCACTCACATTATCTGCCTGATGCATTAGTCGGCTCATACAGCTCATACACACTGCCGCTCTTACTGTCCTACAAGCTTCTTGAAGTTCGAAACTAGGCACAGTTTATCTGGCTCTCACTTTCTGTAGCGCCTTGCATAAGATGGTACTGAAGGAATGTGTCCTGGAGGTAACTTAGGATGGCCCCTACTTCCAAAATTTTTCCTAGTGCTGCATAGCCCTTTAATACTTAGCAGCTTGTAATATAATCGCATTAGCTGAACTGGCATTTGAATTTGTTCAACTGGAAACATCATTCAATCCCTTTGACCACCAGGGTTGTGGAGGGGAGTTTTTCATTATGTCTCTTTCTATATTTATTCCTGGCATTGTTTTCTCAAAACATTGTTTTTCATGTTTTCTCAAAACATGTTTTTCAAAACACTGTTTTCTCAAAAACATCTTGTTGTTTCCCAATTTCAAAAGCATTCAAAATTAATTCTGGGCTGAGTATAGTGACTCACACCTATAATCCTAACACTTTGGGAGACTGAGCGGGAAGCTTAAGGCCAGGAGTTCGAGACCAGGCTGGGCAACATAGTGGGACCCCATCACTACAATAAAACCAAAAACTAATTCTGCTATAATCTCCTGAGTGGTCCATGATAAAGGATTTATGGTCTTAGTTACTGATTGCAGCCATTGAAAGACAGGACATATGAGAGCATAGACATTCGGTTCTGCAGAAGCTACTTAGAGACCTAATGATGAAGAGTAGGAGAGATCTTTTCTGTTTTTTTCTTTTTTGGTTTTTTTTTTTTTTTTTTTTTTGGCAAACAGGATGGAAAGTCTTTTTTTTTTTTGAGATGGAGTTTCACTCTTGTCACCCAGGCTGGAGTGCAATGGCACAATGTCAGCTCACTACAGCCTCTACCTCCAGGGTTCAAGTGATTCTCCTGCCTCCGCTTCCCAAATAGCTGGAATTACAGGTGCCCACCACCATGCCCAGCTAATTCTTATATTTTTTTAGTAGAGATGCTGTTTCACCATGTTGGCCAGGCTGGTCTTAAACTCCTGACCTCAGGTCATCCACCCTCCTTGGCCTCCCAAAGTGCTGCTATCACAGGTGTGAGCCACCTTGCCAGCCAGAGAGATCTTTTCTAAGGTAACTCTTTGAGAGAACTCCATAGGCAAGTCCTTGCTCTTGAATTACAGGAATGATACATGCATATGTAAACTCAAAATAAATTAAGTACTTTTTGTAGTCCAAGCACTGGTTCCTGATCATTAAAAATTAAGTGAGACAGTCTTTACCTTCAAGTAGCTCATGGTCTTGATAGGGAAGACAGAGATACACATGTGAGGACTTTGGCTCTGGAAGAACGCAGATGAGCATATTGCCTGAGGCAGTCAGGGAAGACTTCACAGAAGAGGTGAGCTCTGCTGGTCCATGATGAGGCAGAGGAGGAAAAGAAGGCATTCCAAGAAGAGCCGATGCAAAAGAGATGAGATTTTAGGAGGAGCAGCATCCCCATTCCACAGAGATCCTAAGGAGAACCAGTTAAGCTAGTTTGTTCCAGCATGGCAATGTCCAAGCAGGGAGCAGAATTAAGTCTTACTATTACTACAAAAAATTAGCCGGGGTTGGTGGTGCTGTGTGTCTGTAGTCCCAGCTTTTTTTTTTTTTTTTTTTTTTTTTGAGACGGAGTTTCGCTCTTGTTACCCAGGCTGGAGTGCAATGGCGCGATCTCGGCTCACCGCAACCTCCGCCTCCCGGGTTCAGGCAATTCTCCTGCCTCAGCCTCCTGAGTAGCTGGCATTACAGGCACGTGCCACGATGCCCAGCTAATTTTTTGTATTTTTAGTAGAGACGGGGTTTCACTATGTTGACCGGGATGGTCTCGATCTCTTGACCTCGTGATCCACCCGCCTCGGCCTCCCAAAGTGCTGGGATTACAGGCGTGAGCCACCGCGCCCGGCAGTCCTAACTTCTTGAGGGACCAAGGTGGGAGGATCATTTGAACCCAGAAGGTTGAGCCTGCAGTGAGCTGTGATCATGCCACTACACTCCAGCCTGGGTGAAAATGTTGAGACCCTGCCTCCAAAAAAAAAAGTGCTATCCAACATTTTTCCTGGGCTACCCTGCTTCTGGGTGGCTTGCTTTCATAGATAATCCTATTTTTGTGAACCCCTATATCAAGCTGAGTAAACCACAAGCTAACAGGTCTTAGAATTGGTTGTCTGAAAATGGGGTTGACAAAAATAACTACTACCTATGCATTCTTAGTGACCAAAAAAAGAGTACCAGCACGCAGAGATGCTGGGAAGCCTTGTTAATAGTATAAAGCCTTTGTTCACTATATCATCCTTTCAGAAGATGTATAACAATGTCCCTATTTCCAGGAGTGAATTTTATATATATTCTGGGAGTTCATGCTTTTATCTGGCAAATTCAGAGGACTTAATTCTCAGGCAGATGAAATGCAGTTTACAACTTTTACGAGTATACCTTGTATTTCAAGAAAATCTCCTCCCATCCTCCAGACCTCATAGAAACACATTTATTCTTTGTCACTCTCTGTATGCCTTTTCCTCCCCCGACATACTCACGTGGTTCTTTCTGACCTTCCAGATTCAGATATTAAAGACATCTGAGGTCACACAGCACCTGCCCAGGGAGTGTCTTCCGGAAAACCTGGGTGGGTACGTCAAAATTGATCTCGCCACTTGGAATTTCCAGTTCCTACCCCAGGTGAATGGCCACCCAGATCCCTTCGATGAGATCATCCTGTTCTCACTCCCTCCTGCCTTAGACTGGGACTCGGTACATGTTCCAGGTCCCCATGCTATGACTATCCAAGAGCTGGTGGACTATGTTAACGCCAGGCAAAAGCAAGGAATCTATGAGGAATACGAAGACATTCGTCGTGAGAACCCCGTTGGCACTTTCCACTGTTCCATGTAAGTAGGAACGGTTTGGGCCAGCGGTTGGTTACCAAGATGCTTCTGGCGGGCTCTGGTTCCTTCCACCCCTCACTTGCTTACCAGAGACCTCTCCTTTCATTAAGGAGCGTCACTCTCACCTAAATGTTGGTTTCTCACATGCAGAAAGAGGTACTTTCTGCTTTGATGTTTCTTACCATCATCCTATGCTCTGAAATTTCTGGAGATCTTTGGTACCAACAGGGCAACCCTGTTGGACATATTTTTGGATATTTTCCTGAAATGGAAGTGTTTTTAAAAAGGCAGGCTCGCCGGGCATGATGGCTCATGCCTGTAATCCCAGCACTTTGGGAGGCCGAGGCAGGTGGATCACGAGGTCCAGAGATCGAGACCATCCTGGTCAACATGTTGAAACCCCATCTCTACTAAAAAATACAAAAAATTAGCTGGGCATGGTGGCACGTGCCTGTAATCCCAGCTACTCAGGAGGCTGAGGCAGGAGAATTGCCTGAACCCAGGAGGCAGAGGTTGCAGTGAGCTGAGATCGCGCCATTGCACTCCAGCCTGGGTAACAAGAGCAAAACTCCATCTAAAATAAATAAATAAAAAGGCAGGCTCAAAATAGGCTACTCTCTATTCCTGTTCTCAGAGCGAATGCTGGTCTGTTCATTTGGGCAGTTTCTCCCCATAACATGGCATAACATTACCTCTTAAGGAGGTGTATCTGGTACACTTAAAATAATCCATAGTCAGCTGGGCACAGTGACTCATACCTGTAATCCCAGCACTTTGGAAAGCTGAGGCGAGAGGATCACCTGAGGTCAGAAGTTTGACACCAACCTGACCAACATGGTGAAACCCTGTCTTTACTGAAAATATAGAAGTTAGCTGGGTGTGGTGGTAGGCGCCTGTAATCCCAGCTACTCAGGAGGCTGTGGCAGGAGAATTTCTTGAACCCAGGTGGTGGAGGCTGCAGTGAGCTGAGATTGCACCACTGTACTCCAGCCTGGGCAACAGAGCAAGACTCTGTCTCAAAAGCAAAAAAAAAAAAAATCCATAGTCAGTAAGAGAGTACAGTTGCCTCATAGGACATTAACCTCTTAAAATTTTCACTCTTCCCAAATCCTATCACAGAACCATTTGGCACGTCCAGTGTGGTGGCCCACACCTGTAATCCCAGCACTTTGGGAGGCGAAGGCTGGTGGATCACCTGAGATCAGGAGTTTGAGACCAGCCTGACCAATATGATGAAACCCCGTCTCTACTAAAAATACAAAAAATTAGCTACGTGAAAGGCTGAGGCAGAGAGAATTGCTTGAACATGGGAGGCAAAGGTTGCAGTGAGCTGAGATTGTGCCATTGCACTCTAGTCTAGGCAACAAGAACAAAATTCTGTCTCAAAAACAAATTAAAAAATCCCATCGCCGGGCGCGGTGGCTCAAGCCTGTAGCGAGGCCGAGGCGGGTGGATCACGAGGTCAAAAGATCGAGACCATCCTGGTCAACATGGTGAAACCCCATCTCTACTAAAAATACAAAAAAAACTAGCTGGGCGTGGTGGCGCGTGCCTGTGATCCCAGCTACTTAGGAGGCTGAGGCAGGAGAATTGCCTGAGCCCAGGAGGCGGAGGTTGCGGTGAGCCGAGATCGCGCCATTGCACTCCAGCCTGGGTAACAAGAGCGAAACTCCGTCTCAAAAAAAAAAAAAAAAAAAAAAAAAAAAAATCCCATCTGGCTAGTTCATAACTCTGGCTCATAACTACTTGGTAACTATTGTTGGCCACAGGACATAGATTCTTCCTTCCTTCCTTTCTGCCTGCTTCCCTCCCTCCCTCTTTCTTTTTTTTTTTTTTTCTTTCTTTTTTTAAGACAGTCTTGCTCTGTCACCTAGGCTGGAGTGCAATGGCACGATCTCGGCTCACTGCAACCTCCATTTCCTGGGTTCAAGCAATTCTCTCTGCCTCAGCCTTTCAAGTAGCTGGGATTACAGGCATGCACCACCATACCTGGCTAATTTTTGTATTTTTAGTAGAGATGGGGTTTCACCATGTCAGCCAGGTTGGTCTCAAACTCCTGACCTCAGGTGATCCGCCCACCTCAGCTTCCCAAAGTGCTGGGATTACAGGCGTGACCCACCACACCCAGCCTCTTCTTTTCTCTTCGCCTCCTCCTCTTCTTCTTCTTTTTTTTTTTTTTTTTTGAGACAGAGTCTTGGTCTATTGCCAGGCTGGAGTGCTGTGGCATGGTCTCGGCTCACTACAACCTCCACCTCCAAGGTTCAAGCAATTCTCCTGCTTCAGCCTCCCAGGTAGCTGGGATTACAGGTATGCACCACCACGCCTGGCTAATTTTTATTTTTAGCAGAGCTGGGTTTTCATCATATTGGCCAGTCTGGTCTCGAACCCCTGACCTCATAATCCATCCGCCTTGGCCTCCCAAAGTGTTGGGATTACAGGCGTGAGCCACCACACCTGGCCTTCTTTTCTTTTCTTCTGTTCTTTTTATTTCCTCAAATTCCTAGGTTCAAGCAATCCTCTTACCTCAGCCTCCTGAGTAGCTGGCACTACAGGCATATGCCACTATGCCCAGCTAATTTTTTTATTGTTTGAAGAGATGGAATTTTGCCATGTTGCCTGGGCTGGTCTCAAACTCCCAGACTCAAGTGATCATGCTGCCTCGCCTTCCCAAAGTATTGGGATTACAGGGGTCAGCCACTCCACCTGGTCAGATTACTGTTGCTCTCATTTCTCTAACCATGTTTTAATTGGCTGCCTCAGAAATCTCTCTCCAACTAGTGAGCTATGTCTGTTGAAAACTATAGAAACTATAAGTGGCTGCAGTGGCTCATGCCTGTAATCTCAGCACTTTGAGAGTACATGGTATAGAAGGATTATTTGTGCCTAGGAGTTTGAGATCAACCTGAGCAGCATAGCAAGAACCCATCTCGCCGGGCGCGGTGGCTCAAGCCTGTAATCCCAGCACTTTGGGAGGCCGAGGCGGGTGGATCACGAGGTCGAGAGATCAAGACCAACCTGGTCAACATGGTGAAACCCCGTCTCTACTAAAAATACAAAAAATTAGCTGGGCATGGTGGTGCGTGCCTATAATCCCAGCTACTCAGGAGGCTGAGGCAAGAGAATTGCCTGAACCCAGGAGGCGGAGGTTGCGGTGAGCCAAGATCGCGCCATTGCACTCCAGCCTGGGTAACAAGAGCGAAACTCCGTCTCAAAAAAAAAAAAAAAAAAAAAAAAAAAAAAGAACCCATCTCTACAAAAATAAAAAACAACAAGATTAGCCAGGCATGGTGGCATACTCCTGTAGTCCCAGCCGCTTGGGAAGCTAAGGCAGGAGGATCACTTGATACCAGGAAGTCAAGACTGCAGTGAGTTGTGATCATGCCACTGAACTCCAGACTGAGTGACAGAGTAATACCTTGTCTTAAGAAAGAAAAGAAAAGAAAATTAGGGAAGCTGTCCTAGTGGGTCCCAGCCTTATATTCCAGCTTAACCAAAAATACCATCTGTGAATGACACAAGTTATTTCCCTTCTCGGCACTTCAGTTTTCCTCTGTGTAATATGTGACTGTTGGACTCTGATATTCACCTACTTTTGTAGCTTAAATGTTTTAGGAATCCAGGATTCTGTGAGTACCTCTTCTCTCTTTTAACTCCTGTCCAGCTTAGTCAATGTGCTCTGAATAACATGCAGGGATAGAGTCTTTTAGCAAAGGAAAGAGGGAAAATAATGCGTTGGAGAAAATAATGAGATAGGGAAAGTAAGAGAGAAGAGGCACTTGAGGAAGAGGTCCATCAGAGCAAGCATGCCAAGGAAAATAAGAGGAGGAAAAGGGGACACACAGATCATGTATCAACAAGGGAAAGTATTTTCTCCCATACAGCTGTTTCTTCCCTACTAGCTCCAGACCCCTGTTTTTATTTATTTTTTATTTCATTTTATTGTTTTTATTATTTTTATTATTATTATTTAGAGACAGGGTCTTGCTCTGTCGCCCAGACTGGAGTGCAGTGGTGTGATCATGGCTTACTGCAGCCTCAACCTCTCGACGCTCAGTTGATCCTTCTGCCTCAGCCTTTTGAGTAGCTGAGATCACCGTACCTGGCTAACCTTTTTTATTTTTTGTAGATACAGAGTCTCTCTATGTTGTCCAGGCTGGTCTCGAACTTCTGGGCTTAAGTGGTCCTCCTGCCTCAGCCTTCCAAAGTGCTGGAATTACAGGTGTGAGCCACCACGCCCAGCTACCAGACCCCCTGTTTACATCCACTCTCTTTCCCAAACGTATCAACAGTTATTCCCTTACAGTTTTTGTTGTTGTTGTTGTTGAGGCAGAGTCTTACTCTATTGCCCAGACTGGAGTGCAATGGTGCGATCTTGGCTCACTGCAACCTCCGCCTTCCGGGTTCAAGCCATTCTGTGCCTCAGTCTCCTGAGTAGATGGAATTGCAGGTGTGTGCTACCACACCCATGTAATTTGTGTATTTTTAGTAGAGATGGGGTTTTGCTGTGTTGACCAGGATGATCCCAGACTCCTGACCTTAGGTGATCTGCCTGCCTCAGCCTTGCAAAGTGCTGAGATTATAGGCATGAGCCACTGTGCCCGGCTTCTCTTGCATCTTGAATGAGGGAAGTACATTGGAGCAGGGAGGCTTGCTAGGCTGATCCAAGAGGATGCACACTTATCCTAGGGATTCTTTACCTTGCTCTTGGTGCTTCTGCAGCTACCAACTGCTGTGAGGTCCTTGAGATGTCATTTCTACTATGGAGTCTCCCCCCTCCACTCAATAAGTGGGTTTAGATCTTCTTGTCATTATCCAAACCGGCTACCATTTGACAATCAGAGAACAGATCCCTCATTCAATGAGAGGACTTCCTAGTCTTGCCTGTTGAATGATTGATTCCCCAATTTATTATTTAGAACCTAGAATCCTCATCAGCCCCAGGCCTCCGTCTTACACCAACTCCCAGTAGAGCTACTTACACAGAACAAACTATGTTTCCCTTG